CGTTCGCTACATCGAGTGTCCCCTCCATGGGAGTTATGGACATTCGATACAGAAAAACAATGCAATTTTCTAGGGGATGTTTGGACTGTTTCATATAAACAATAATTCGAAATACGGGTGTGATATAACCGGGTTCGACAGTATGTTTGGCCGTCTCCCTTAATTTCCAGATACCTTCGTTCGTTTGGCACGTATATCCCCGATGCTAGAAAGCGCCGACGTTGTGTTCGCGCTGAGAGTGTCCGACAGTGCACATAAATACACGTGCGAAGCCGTTTTTGCACCGTTTTTTTTTCCCCATAGAAATGCATTACCGGAAGTCAATTTTCGACTGGTTGCTGTCTGCTTCAACTTGCGTCGGCACACTAGCACCACTTGAACCTCTAGCGTACATTACAATAACCCTACGCGATCTGCAACATTTTTTCGTCAAATGAGCCAGTTTGGAACCGAGAATTGTGAAAAATGGAGCAGTACACTCGTCCGACAAGTTGGGCACATACGTTTCCGACAAGCATCGGCGCGGCCATTGCTGTTTACATTCGGTCAAATAATGATGACAATGGCAACTAGATGCTTTTTTTTGGGGGTTGGTGAAAACAGCGTTTTGCTAGCCCATCTGTTGGCAACTACCTAGGTACGTGACGACACCGCCTGCTGCTATTTCGCCGTCCGCCGCGTGCACGCCGAGATCGCTCGCGCCTTGTTTACTACCTTTCGTTTGGCCTGTCGGAAAGATGCCGCCTCCCATTAAAAAGTTTAAGTTTTTTGCACTTCAGGAGAACTCTGCGATCACTGCCAAAGCCAGAAAGAAGTCTGATATTACAGAGGAGTTCAGTATCCTTTGCTTCTCGCTTTCTACGATTCTGAAATCCAAGGACAGCATCATGAAAAGTAATAGGTGTGCTTAGTTGTCCATTTCTGCAGCAGCGAAATTCTTGCGAGAACGAAAAACGTTTCCTTCCCCCGCGGTTTGGTTATTACGGGTGTGATGATGTGACTTAATGTGGAAAAGAAGTGCAAGTCAACCCATGGATCGGCCTGGAGGGAGAAACGAAGAAGAGAGATTTTGGAGTGCGTGCTCAGAGGGCGTGAAAAGGACTGGCCGGGAGATTGTGCAGAGAGCGGAACGACACGATCGGCCAGGGCAATCGGCGGCCTCCTACTGTCTGACCAGCAGCCTGTTCCAGCGAGGGCAGCGAATAGAAACCTACGCTGCCCCCGGCTTCCTACAGCGGGAGCGCTTGGTGCGGTAACTCTGGGGCCGCCGACGGAAGCCAACCGCTCCCGCTCCTGACTTCCAGCCACAACCGTGGGCCGACAACGACAGCACAAGACACACTGCTGCACAGGGACTCAAAGACATGGTGACTGATGCGTTTTCCTTTCTTTAACTAAGTTTTCTTTTTTTTGTATAAGCATATGAACCCTTTGATTTTTTTTTGTAAATACAAGTTTTCATGAAAAACGAAGGACATTGTATTTTGTCAATTATTAACCACAAAGAACCCTGTGACAACGGGGTTCAACTGTAACATATTGTTCAGTGGGCCGAGAGTCAAAAGTCTGCTTTTCGGTACGAAAATTCGAAAACATGACGGACTATTTTGTACTTCCTTTCCCTCAAAAGCTTTCCGCATTTTCAGTGCGACACATCCGTGGTACCCAAAGCACGTGAGCCGGCCCTAGCTCACATGTTAGACTCGACCACTGTGTCACCATTGGCGACGAGATGTTTTGGTGGTTTCATCTCGCGGACGCCTTCCTGTAGCGGTGCTGGTAGGATCGAGCAGACGACGCGCTACGTCAAAGCGCCGAGTGGCTAGTTAGTTCGCCTCTATGTCGATTAAAAATGGATTATTAACCCTTTGCAGTCAGATACTCTGACCAACTTAAAGGGCAACTCCGGTCAAAACTCAAAATGAAATAAATTACTGGTATCGTTGTAGACACAAAATACGACCTCAGCCAAAATATTACGTCCGTGGGACGCCGCATTCTCAACTAATGCCGATAATAAAAATGTGACCTGCCGCAAGCCGCTGCTTCTTAGCGGGCGGCCAGCGGGTTGGCGATCGCTAAAGCAACATTGCGCCGTGACGTCAGTATCGTTCTCTTTTCCTCCGGCCCGGGCGTTGCGCGGAGTGCGTTTCTTCGAGCCGCTACCACCGGTACTTCGGCTTGTGATTGGCGTGTTTAGCCGTTGATTTTATCTGTAGCCCATGTAGCTTCGCTATAGCCTTTTGTTTATCTGCTTGTGAGGACTCCAAGACTCGTTTTAGCGAGCAACTTGGTGCGCCCAAGACTGCCCAGCTGTTCCTCAAAAGATGCCGAGTACAACTTGTAGCGCTGTGGGCTGCTCAAACAACCCGCTGTGCAACACGGAGGTGCTTTTTCACTAGTTTCCAACGGACCAAAAACTGGAGAAGGTGTGGGTGAACGCTGTTCGACGAGTAGACTTTGGACTTCGGCTTTTAAGCGCCCGAGGAAAAAAAAAAGAACGAAAAAACAGACATGTACAGCCCAGCACACATGTGTTGGGGTGCCGCAGCCCGCGCCGGAGAACCTCAAAGCTTCGTGTCTGGGACTGTCCCGCAGCGCGAAAGCGAGGGGGCCCTCAGGGCGTCACCCATCCCTCCGTATCCTTTCATCCTCCTCCTCAAGAGCTGCGCTCTAATCCGGCGTTACAGGGAGTCGTAAACGGCTTTTTTTTTTTTTTTTTTTTTTAAGTTTTGAATATTGCTTATTTTACTGTAGGTAGATGTGGGAGTTGTTTACGAAAATATTTTTGGAGACCGCAGAAGCAGACCACACGAGTCACCCCCCTCGCCCAAGTGAGGGGTGACCTGCAGTCTGTTTGGAAAGATACTGTGTCTGTAGCTTTGATACAAAGATATCTTTCAAAGATACTTTGAAAGATACTGTGTTTGTAGCTGGCTTCAGTTGCTGCGTTCGAATGTGCATCTATTGACATTTGGTGACCGTAGCAGTCAATTTATTGTGCAGGAGGAGACTGGTGGGGCGAGATCAGGAGCACACTTGGGCTCTCTTGCAGTACTTTTCAATGCGGCCACAGAACAAGAACATAGGGTTCTAAATAAGGACTGAACGCAGATAGCCGTTACTCTCTGGCGCCTATTATTTTGACAAGCCTTCCATGAAAGGCACTTTTTTTTTTCTCACCTGGAACATAGGGTTGAAGTATCAAACCGCCCGTGATGTTGCGAGCGAAATAGGATATCACCCGAACATCTCGGTGTTAATAATCGCAGGGAAGATGAGAAATGCAGGGCATGTCTTATAGCTCAGCCTCCAGCGAGCACTCATCGCCTTTCCTCATGCTTTGGCTGTGCGTGCATTCTTGAGGTTTGCAAGATGCCTAAGCATTGCTGAATGGAATGCGAATGGCTGGGTGTGTCTTACAAATGTCCCGCCTCTACGCGTTGCCGAAGGTAGGAAGCTCTCTTGCTGGAGGCAGGGCAACTGAGGCTTCTCATAGCCATTCTCATCTTGTGAGGGACTTAGTCATTAAACCATTTTAAAAGTGGCAGTGCTACACCATACAATAAAGGTTTTTACAAAAGCAATTTGTAATTGATCTTGTCAAAAGCTAGTTATAAATAGAAAGAAAAAATATCAACTTGCTTCAGTGAGAAAAACGGATGGTGCCTTGTATTCAAGTTTACAAAAACATTTCTACTGACAACCTAAAAAAATTCCATTGAATGGTGCTGTTTTTAACTGGAGTAAAGAGACCCATGTCTGTGTACAACTATCTATAGTCCGTTGCAACCTAAGGGCGAGGGTAAGATGGGCCGGGGAGGAGGAAGCAGACGGAACGCTGGAGAAGAGAGGGGGAAACCTCCTTCTCTCTTTAGTGTTCCGCCTGCTTCCTCCTCCCCAACCCGTCTTACCCTCGCCCTTCGTTCTTAGGTTGCAACTGACTATAGACTCTTTCAAAGCTTATATTAAAGACCCAGGCAGTGACTGTCTACCCTAGATATATCACCATCGTCCTTCACTGGTGCTATGAGACCTCTTCCACAACAATGAAAAATCACAACTTCTCGGAGATGAAATGCATGCTTTAAAGGGGCCCTGCAAGGGCTTTTTGACTGGTTTTTCATTTGCACCGAACCTGAGCGCACTGAACGTAGTCAGTGCAACTTAATTAAACTTTTCTTTTCTCGAATTTCGCTTTATTTTAAAAGTTATAGGCAAATTAAAATTACAAGAACAAGCAAAACATAACCTTTTTCATGACGTCCTTGGTCGCTCGAGTGGCCATGAACTAGAAGAGAGCTAAGTGAGCTCAGCGAGCGCTCCGTGTCAACAGCTCGAGAGGGCGCCATATAGCATGTTCTGGAAAGGCTGTATGAAGCGGGCAGCCAGGGGGGCTCGCATTGCATTTGCTGCACGATTAAACACTAATTCGGCATGACACTTCATTGGTCACAAACGACAGCAAACACGGGGTAAAGATCAGTTCAGAACGGGAGCCACTTCGCACTGCCATACCGCCAAAGGGCCAAACCGCAAGCCAAAGCTGCTCGCCGAAGGCCTTTGAAATGCTCGGAACCGGTCGAATTTTCGACTGCAGCGCCGCCGCATACACCCGAGATCTTTCTACGCTTGCCCTCGTCATTGCCTGATCCCACTACACCTTTCTAGTATGCGCCGCCTTTTCCACCGCTTGGGTGGCGGGTATGTCAAAGGGTCGTTTCTTGTTTCCGTACTTTATAAACTGCATTTGTTTCTTTTCTGGTCTAAAATACTGAACAAAAACTACTTTCACAAATAATTGAAACGGTTCTTTTAGCTTTTAGCGGCTCCGACCACTAGTAAGCCCAGGACCAAAGACGTCGCATTTCGCGCGCTTTCAGCAATGCGGGTCGCCCCCGTAGGTAAAGGAGGTTTCTGCGTCGGCCGGTTAAAATATGACGCACTGACATTTAGTTACTTTCTCCGTGCCCGCTGGCTTGCCTGAACGCCAAGAGACGTGCAAACCGCAAAAAAGGTAGACGCTTAAATATGGTTGCAGGGCCCCTTTAATGAAGGGGCAAACAAATCAGTGCAGCCCTTAAAATAAAGCAAGATATAAAATCTGCACTCGCAGAACAGCCGGGCTTTAATTTCTTTATTGCTTTTAACATTTCGGTGTTAACTTGTTTGATTGCTGCAATCTTGTTAGTCAATATTACTAAAATAAAAAGATGTGCTTGCATTGACCAAAGTGTGAACATTGTTCACACTCTAACAATCTCCAGTCCTGCTTGGCAACGGTAGCAATACATGTACCAACGTTCTCAGATCTAGGTCAGTTGACAAACTTCGGAAAACGCCCGACGCCTTTTTGCAGTGTGTCCGCTCAGTGGCGTCTGCCGCAGTATCAGCCTGCCCTTTGGACAGATCCAGTGGAATGTTGGATGCACATTACCTGCAGTGGAAAGTGATTTTTTTTTTGTTGTTGTTGTTCTTATAGTAAACTTAAGGCCTGCACAATACTTAAAACAGAAAGAGCGTTGTTCAAAAAGCGTTTTTCGTTGACCGCAAAGGAATTGGCACTAGGAATGCTATCCGCCCTTACCTGCTTGTGCACCGGCAACAGAGAAAAACTGGTTTAGAGTGCAGCTCTTAGGTGCCCATTTCCACGCTTCATTGCGTCGCCGTCTGCATGATCACCTTGCTGAATTTAGTGAGAAATTGAATTTGTGTTGAGGTCACGCAATGTCAATTTTTCTGCTAAATCTAGCTGAGGAACTGAATTTGTTTGTGAGTGACGTGGCATGAAGTCATGTGCCATTTAGCAGGGTTGTTTCCTCAACACCAATTCAGTTTCCCCGCTAAATATAGCGGGGAAACTGAATTGGTGTTGAGGTTGTGTGACATCAATTTCCCCACAAGATTTAGAGAGGAAACTTAAACCGCTAAATTTAGCGGGGAAATTCTTGCTAAATTTAGCAGGAAATTTAGCGAAAATTGCCTGCTAAATGGGAGGGGGAGGAGAGGGTATGGAGGGATAGGAGAGGCATAACCTCCCCTCCTCCTACTCAAGCGCTGCGCTCTAATTTCATGTTACAAAGAATTGTAAACGTCTCAATTTTTTTTTTTTTTTTTACTGCTGCTCTTTTATGGAGCTTGTCAACCGACAGATCTAAGAAAGTTGATGTGTACGGCCCGAGCAGAGGCATCTATTTTTCCAAGCACAAGTTTTGAAACCCCCTTTTTTATTGAATTCTTTCAAGAAGACACTCCGTTTAGAGGAAATGGCAACGAATCTCCTTTTAGCAAATTTGTTTTTAGAAAAACAAAATTCACCGAACTTGACTGCTTGCTCTAGCATTTGCTTGTCCTGCCTTGGCTGATGGCAAAGCCGAGCCAGTCAGTCAGTGAGTCGCTCGCTTGGGCGGCCAGCATATTCAGAGCATGATCGACAAGTTTTTATGCATGCCACATCCCTGCTGTTTTCGCAAGAATAATTTTACATTTTGCCTGGTTTACAGCCCAAGAGAGGAGAGTGGGTGCTCAAGCATAGGTCAATATGCCTCAGTGCATCATGCTTTAGTCTTTAGCATCTTCCAGACTTGCTTATGTTAATCGAATGGATTCACTAAACGGTGCTCCTTTGCAACCGATTGTTGTAGGCTGCACCTACAACAAGCAGTTGTAAGTGCAGTACATTCTATTAGCATAAAATAAAGGCACACAGCCAAATCACCTCAATGATGCCTAGCAAGTGGCGAAATAAACTTCACTTTAACAAAGCATGTGTAGCTACCGAGACATCACATTATTCAGAGTGCAGATGCAGAGTAGCTTTCTTTTGGCCTTGGCATCATCTTCCATTGTCCAGGCACAAGCGGCACTGCCGAAAAAGACCAATAAATAAATATTCAACACGGTGTATTATTCACTTTTGTACCTGCAACATTACCGTCCTATATAGATAGTCGACAGCTGCCCCGGCAACTTTCCGGACATGCGGAATCAAAACATCTCATCAACACAAGTGCTATTCGCCACTGCCGTAAGTTGAAGAATACTTTTCAAAAAAATAAAAGTGCATCTTTCAACGCAGTGTCTAGCGTAACCTTACCCCAAGATTTCGAGTTACATCTAAGGTACCCAATATGAAAAATAAAGTTTGGTCCGACGTAACCTAATATGAAAATTAAAGCTATGACAAACAGAACCCAAAATAAAAGTTAGTTACGTCCTATGTAACCTACGCAACGTAAGTTTCGCTTTACGGCCGATGCACGACATAAATACAAAAATGTCATGACTTACTACTGCATAACATCCGATGCAGCATTCATTAGTCAGTTAAAATCTCAACTCTATCCGCACCTCCAGCTTTGTTGAGGGGGCTGGAGTGTTCCTCGCACATTGAAGCTGCTGAAACTGGGCATCCCCTCCTCTAAAACAATTTACTCAATTGTAGGTACTGGAAACAGAAAATGAACCAGTGTGTGATGGGTTTGGGAGGGAAATAAACGTGGACAAAAGGCAACCAAGCAATTTAGAAGAGACTAGACCCGCCGAGCTAACGTTCTGTACGAACAATCTGAACCTTATATACTAGTTCTTGTACAAATACAAGATACCCACGATATTCCGCGATAAGTAGCCACCAAAATTAACATACCAATTAGGCAGTTCTGTTCGTAAGTCACGCAAGTCGCCGAACTCTCCTCGCAGAACGTTCGCGAAACAAAAACGGCCATCTTGGAAAAATCAAAATAGTGATGGTGATAGCGATGGGGCTTCTATAAAAACTCAGAGAACAAATGTAATCCCTTTATCCGATATATAAAAGAAAAAAAAAAAAAAAACTTATGGAAAACATTTACCCTAGCAAAAACTTCTTAAAATAATGGTAAAGTTTAAAATAAAGATCTAAAGTTTAAACATTTAGTTATGTTAAAATACACTTGGTAAAGTCTATAAATCTTGTTTCAGTAATTAAATGCAAACAGAACACAGACTTCGTAACCCTTCTTGCTGATAGCCTTTCCTTGCAAGCGTGAATGGTCAAAAGCCGATGCCATAATAGGCAGAAATACTGCGTAGATAGCACGCTTAGAGTGTCCAGAAAAAATTAATGGGGGATGTCTATCTTCTTTCCATAAACCTTTTCGGAGTTTACCCTTCCTGCACGTTTCACAGTAATCTGCGGCATGGATTCACCACACTGTTTTTGTGAAGTGTGGCAAAACGTATGCACCACCATAAGAAAAAAATATGACAATTTATTTAAGTACAACAGGAAGCCACGAGAGGGGAAGATGGCAAGATCCGATCCACCAAAAAGGACTGGGCCTAAGAGTGCAGTCTTGAAAGGCTTGGCCCATGAATCAGGACGATTTGAAACCTATGATGAATGCAGAGAACAAAGGGGTCGATCAGGTGAACAGTAACTAATATCTGACCCTAACATGCAGGGCAAGATCTGTTTTGTTTACCTAATATTTGTTATGCCACCAAAAACCAACGTTACTAAAACACTCAGCTAGGAAACTCAACCTTGGAACCTGGACTGCTGGCGTCCACCGAGACCAAACTAAATATGATAACAGTGCCACTCTTTAGCAACAAGTCAAAACATGAAAGTTGCCTTGCATAGCTACTCCAAGATGGCCCTGCGAGATGACACCAGTGGCCCTTCCGAGAATCTACGGAACCAGTCAGTGCAGCAGTGTAGTTCACGGAGTGGCCACCGCGGGAGAAACAGTGGCATTGCGATTGCATTTAGTTTGATTCTCTCATATGGATTGAAGCCACTTTTTCAAAGGAGGCTCCTATAGCAGTTTTCCAACCGGGTGTACTAGTCACGTTGTCAAAAACTTAATTTCTTCCTAACAAAAGCCGGCATAAGTCCATTTTTTTCTAAAAAAAGTTAACCTCGAAAGCTTCAGGGGGGGGGCCGTCCCCCCCCCCCCTTCCCCCCCCCCACACAGTTTCCCCTAAAATCTGCCAAGAAACTGAGGGAAAAGTGAGGACGAGAGCAGGTGTGGATGTCAGGACACCCGAGCTCTGGTTCGAATGATTAGTGGGTACACCTAAAGCTAGGTGCCTTTGTCTTTACTGCACTCGTCAAAGACGTTCGAATGCGAGAGCCCAAAGCTGGATACCGGCGTTCTGCATTCGAATGTGTTCGACAAGTGCAGCAGAAACAAAGGCTGCCTTTGTCTCCACTGCACTCGTCGAACGTATTGGGATGCAAATGCCAAAGGCCGCCCCCGGCGTTTGGCTCTCGCACTCGAACGTCTTTGACAAGTGCAGTGAAGACAAAAACACCTAGGTTTAGGTGCCTCTGCGTTCTGATGTCCCTGCACTCTCGTCTCCCCCTCTCCATCAATTTCTCGGCTCATAGAGTTCTGAAAGTTTAACACTGGCAGTGTGCGACAGTAGGCCAGCAGGATGGCATACTCTCCCCTACATGATACGGAATGAGCAGGATCCAAGACAGACAACTCCGGACGGAACGTCCGCAGTTTACAACTCTTTGGCGGCATGCGCTAACTAGCTATCATCATCGTCGTTTTTGACGTCACGGGTAGGGCACACTGGGACAGACTGCACAGATCTTGGAACCTTTGGCTCGACAGTCAGCGTTATGCGCTGTATCGCGCAGCAAAGCCCATTTCGCGCATTGTTTTTATTTGGTGAAGTTATACTTGAAACCGTGCCACGCGTAGTCATGCTAACAAACACTTTTGGCACTAAGGTGTCGAAATGCTGGGATGGTGATGTACTGTTCTCCACCCCAGTACAAAAAGATGGACGATTAAAATAGAATATCCAGCGCTTTACCCCACTACAACATCTAGCTAGCATGGCGAATAGGGTGTATTTATTTTATTATTATTCAGACAAAATAAAGCTGAGAAAGAAATGTCTCATTAAATTGAAAATAGGAAAGCGAAATTCGGGAATCTCTAACCTGTGTAGTAAACACTTCAGTGAAAGCGACTCCGTGTATCTTGGTGGTTCCGATGTGTTTTGTAAGTGCTGATTTCTTATTAGTCCCAAGTTGATTCATTTTTGGTCTTTTTAAACCAGTAAACAAACATTTCCTCAAAACAACTGGCATTGACGGTGGCTGGCTTCCAGAGTCGTCTCAATGAAATCCCTGCTTGTTCACTCGATCGATGTGAAGCATGCGAGACCCCCTCGCGACCGAAGCCTTAAATTTAGTAAGTCGGTGACAATTAGCATCCCAAAAAATTAGGTATACACCTGCTATGAATTCCTACCGTTTGTATGTTTAATTTTTCGGTCCCAATTGCGCATAATGTGTGATGCGCTTTTCAGCGAGCAATTTTACATTTGTAAACAATTCTTAGTAAAAATTGGATAGAACTAATTAATCGATCGCCTGAAATTGCCGCGATGTGACAAACTTCTTTGCCGCGTATTCGATGCGGGAGGAGCTAATCCGTCAGTTGCTGAAGAGCATTAGCTCGTCAGCAACTGCGGTGTCGGCGAAATAGCAGCGGGCGGTGTCGTCACGTGAAACGTCACATACCTTGGTAGTTGCCAACAGATGGGCTTGCAAAACGCTGTTTTCACCAACCAAAAAAAAAAAAGAATCTAGTTGCTATTGTTATTATTTTTTGACCGAATGTAAACAGCAATGGCCGCGCTGATGCTTGTTGGAAACGCATGTGCCCAACTTGCCGGACGAGTGTACTGCTCCACTTTTCGTAATTCTGGGTTCCAAACTGGCTCATGTGACGAAAAAATGTTGCAGATCACATAGGGTTATTATAATGTACGCTAGAGGTTCAAGTGGCGCTAGTGTGCCGACGCAAGTTGAAGCAGACAGCAACCAGTCGAAAATTGACTTCCGGTAATGCATTTCTATGGGGAAAAAAAAAAAATGGTGCAAAAACGGCTTCGCACGTGTATTTATGTGCACTGTCGGACACTCTCAGCGCGAACACGACGTCGGCGCTTTCTAGCATCGCTGATATATGTGCCAAACGAACGAAGGTATCTGGAAATTAAGGGAGACGGCCAAACATACTGTCGAACCCGGTTATATCACACCCGTATTTCGAATTATTGTTTATATGAAACAGTCCAAACATCCCCTAGAAAATTGCATTGTTTTTCTGTATCGAATGCCCATAACTCCCATGGAGGGGACACTCGATGTAGGGAACGAAGACGAAGGCGGTTCTTCGCTTCTCCCTATAGGTCGGATTGCGCCGGCCGGGAGCACATAGCTCGGGTTGCGGGGCTGGCAGACCGCCAAGCCAGCATACGCGCACCCGGGAATGCGCACGCGGGGATGCGCAGCGAAAAAGCAATTGTATAAAAATTAAAAAAAGCAACCAATAAAAACAAAAGAAGTGGAGGATGGCAAAAGCAAGGGGAAGGGCACCTGCGCGCGTGGGGAGGGCAGGGAGTGCCCGCTGTTGGAACGGTCGCGTGCGCTCATTTTCCCAAACACCGCTGTCACTGTGTGACTCCTTACCCCCCAAAAAAAAAAAAAAAGATTTTGTCAGGTGGAGTGTTTTGACAACAAGGGTTGAGCAATCACACTTTGAACGCCTTATGTTTGTTTACCCTTTCCTTTCCCCGTTATTGCTCCCGTTTCCGGCTTGAGCGGCGTCACCGTCAGGTCTCGACACCCCCCCCCCCGAGGTCACATGACCAGACCTGGGGGGGTCACGTAAACCTCAGTTTACCTTTTTTTATACTTTATTCGCTATCAATTTTACTAACCACTTCGTTCTGTTTTCTTTTTAAATCTAATAAAAGTTACTCGCTATCATCAAAACTGTATTGTGTTATTTTATTTTATGACATGCTTTTTAGAGAGTGACAGCATCTAGCGACATGGTGTCCGCCCATCTTGACCTAAAACAAAGTTCTGTGTCACTCAGGGAATTTCACAAAAGTACTCAGGGGAAACCTGAAAAACTCAGGGAATTTGAAAATGCCAACTTGGTAGACACATTGAATAACTCTATGGCAGATCACTACCTCAAACTTTCGTTAATGCGGGACTGCTTTTTAAAAACTCTTTGCTGTTGAGAGGGTGCAAATGCATTGAACCCTATGGACGTTCGCTGGGGCCGCCAGATTTCTTCGTTGCCGCGAGAATTTCGTTTTTGAAAGGTTCAACTGTATTAGCAAAATACGAATCTAAATTAATTTATCCCACCCAAAATAAATTCCATGGCTCCTTATTAAACACTGTGATTTTATCCAAGCCTCGGGTAAAAACAGTTTAGCTTTCTCGGCTCCCGATTGGACGCGTCGCAGGTTTCTGCCGGGCAAGCTTTGTCAACTAACGTCCCAACTCTTTAGCCCCGCACACATGGTGAGAGATATCTCGCAGTGGCTGATGTTCGTTCTGAACCTTTCTTTATCCACCGGTGTATTTGGACGTCTGTACGGCAACAAAATGACTGAAAACTTGCAAATTAAGCACAGGTTGTGGATTGCTTGCTTTATAGAATAGCAGACACACAATTCAAGCTCGTGTCCGATTTTGTTGCTCGTGGGACGTCATTTTTTTAGCAGAAATTCACTTTTTCTGCAGTTCTACTGTCCCGCATGGTGGACAAACCAGTCATCTGCTCTTGTTCCCTGCCTAAGTGATGCATGACGGGAGTGCATTCAGGTACACACTTAATTCTCAGGGTGCAGCGAGTGCATGCACGTGTGGAGTGCCGGCGGCGAAACAAACTCACTTCATGTTGCGAGTGGCTGCGCATGGGCACGAGTGCAGCGAAACAAACTCGCTATTAGTTTTCACATGTGGTCATGCACTGAGCACGAGCATGTAGCTTCGTCTTGCATCTTGTTCGCATGCAGAAGTTGCTTCGACGGCGTAGCAGAAATTACACTAGCCTTGACAATAAAGAACAAAGAGGCTTACGCCGAGCCTAGACACTGGTGCAAAAGACGGCCGAGCCAGAA